AAAAAAAATAGTACAAAACAGCACTGTCCTCCTTTCTTCTTCAATTCAAGTTTTGTTTTTCGTCAGGCAGAATAAAGAGCTCTAACCTAAAACCTTTCTCAAAAACCTTGTTCAGTGCTAAATTATACCTCAAAACTTACTTCACTGCCTCACATGTGACTTGAAATCCTCTGCAGTCACATTCCTTTATGAACCATTTTGCACTTTACAAGAACTTCTCCTTTCTGATAAGGTGAGAAAGCTCTGAGCTTCACTAGATTTATAGGAGGTGTTTTACCCGGATAAGCTATACTGTATGTGACTTGGTGAAAGATAAATGGACACCTTCTTCTTTCTTTTTGCGACTTCTCTTTCCCCTCACCGTGTCTCTGGGTTTTCCATCTTCCTCTGCCTCGACTCAGTAACATTTAAGACCTCCTGGTGGGAGGACGCCAGTGAGAGGGGAGGAAGAGAGAGGGAGGTAGCGGCAGCATGAGAGTGACAGAGTTGTTAAGTCTAAGGCTGTGTATGTAACATCAATAGAATGAAGGCTATATGTACAAGTGTAGTGGTCAGTAAAAAGCAAGACTTACAAGTACTAGTTTAATTGGTATTACTAGGTGTATGTACCTGCATACTCCATTAAAAGCTGTATATTTAAGTCTGTTGTTGCAGAATCTTTTTTTAGGTAAATTTCCAGCTTGCAAGTTTCTACTTTCTGTCCATGTTCATCCAATCCTTTCTGGGGTCGCCTCCCATGTTGAAACGCCAATAATGGACAAACAAAACACTGGCTGTACATATGGGCTTTTGTGTTTTTAGGGAGTTTGCGGCCACCGTAGCTCCTCCTACACACCTCACAGCACAGCCCATTCTCATTCTTCAGATAGTTAAATCTTACACTAGTCCTTTAACACACGCCTAAATGTACAAGTTTCAAAAACTCAAAGATCATAAGTTCAAAACTGTACTTTCAGGTACACCTTTGTGAATGATATAATAAGCCATAAAACAATGGATTAGCAACCATTACAACTTTTGCTGTGATTGCCGATTTGTAACTGGACAAGATTTCTGTTGTTGTACAGCTAAACACTGCAACTCCATTGGCGAGTCACCACTATCTCCAGTCTAACTGGCTAATTAATTATCTTGTCAGCGTATAGTAAAGACAGTGCCGCAGGAGGAGCAGTGGTTGACACACTGTTTGGAAACCTTCCTGCATTATGACTTATACCGACAAACTATCAGACCGATCAGAATCATCCTTTTTCAGCAGAAACCAAAAAATATATGCGATGCCAAAGCTATCTTTGAAAATCCGGTATTTACCTATAGTATGTCTTATTTGCCACCTTCTCAAGCTCTAGTCTAGTTTCTTCCAAAGTTCGCTCCTCTCAGTATTTCATATAGAACATTAAAGTTCAGGCACAGGTCTCATTTAGTTTTCAAAACATGTCAGACTTAGATTGCAGTCTAAGTGCACATTGACAGACAAACAGGTTTAGGTTGACAAGGAAAGGTTTGTGTTTATCCATCAATAGTTGATCTGCCTTGTGCATGTATTCAAAAGTACATTTTGCCTGACTTGCATTTTGGGAATTTCAAAAAGAAGTTTTTGAAAGGAATGCCTTGAAAAAGCGATTTTTGTTCTCTAATGTTCTTTGATGTTTGTTTTTCTTTGTTTTCCCTGTTAATCACAGCGTAGAGTCAATTCTCCCTCTTCTTCTCATCTTATTTTGTCTTTGTGATTGATGAAGAGTTTGAGGAAGCACTGAGGAAGCCTACAGAGAGGACAAACAATCTCCCACGTATTGTTGCAGTGTTGAGTGTGATGAGGGGGGTGAAGTAGCTATCAATACCCGTATTGATGACTACAGTGGAAGCTTGTGGAAATGTTCTGCTTCCCTATTGATCTCTGATCCATTATGAGCTGTTAGTAGACGGCCGGGTGAATGATGGGGAATGGTCCATCCATCATAAGGCGACACTCTCGCTGCTTGGCAGACATGCTCTTTTAGTTGTTTAGCTTGTCCGTTACCATCCTTCGACTCCTATCCTTCTGTAGTCCTCCTCCTTTCACTCCTTTTGTCATTGAACACAAAACACACCTAACCCACAGCACACGTGGAGTAGGCATTTATGCTTTAATCTGACAGCACCTGTCTCCACACACTCGTTTTGGGAAAATACTCTTCATAGAATTAAAATGACAGGCAAGCTCAGCTTTTCCCCACTGCAAACTGTCCAATAAAGACAAAGGAATAAGTCTTTCATTTGGAAATTTGAAAATGGATAAAATTAAATTGGTATTAGGAAGAGAAAATGTGAACCACTTCAGAAATAATGATGAAGATGAAAAGATTTCTTACCCAGGATTCAAATTTAAACTCTGTTCTGTTCTACTCTCCAGGTCACTGATCGGTCTGTGCGAGCAGTTGCGGAGCATTGTCCTGAGCTACAGTTTGTTGGCTTCATGGGATGCCCTGTGACCTCTCAGGGAGTCATCCATCTTACTGCGGTAAGTATCGCACAAAGGTTTTGACTTGCATTTATAATAGTTTTCCATGGGAACTTCAGTTGTGACCTTTTGTAATTACTCAATTTGTGTGTTGTCTTACTATAAAAATGTAGGTGCTGTTGTTCCTGCAGCACAGTTGAAAGAAGGTTAATTTCAGTCAACAGTTTCATTTTTTTGAAGTGATAACTGATATCAGTAAATGTCGACAGAAGTTTTAGCGTGAAGTTTTTTGTCTAATCCGGTTACCGTAGGACAGTTCTCCATGTTGCTGCAGGCTGTGCATTGTCTCCAGGGGGGGGGAAATTAACTTTTACAGAGTAAACTCAGGACCTCACTGTGGGTTTTATCTAAGACTTAGTTTTGAAGTTACTTCGTGTTAACTTTTAAATCTCATGAAAGCCTAATGAGATGAATCCTAATAATACGCTGCTGTTCTGACTACACCCTGCTGTTTGGATATTACCATGCTAATGAGCAGCGCTCCGTGGTTTAAGATGTGCCATGCCATATAAACATGGACACACATGCACTCACACAGTGATTGCTTGAATTGAATTCACCAGGAAATGCTGCACCTTGTTTTTCTTATTTATTTCCTTTTCCCAACATAACGTCCATCTAGATTGTGTGTGTGTGTGTGCACCTTTGTGAGTCTATACGCTATGTCCGCACCCATGTGTGCCTGAGTAATACAGTTCGATTTGTTTTTGATGTACTTGGGTGTACACGTAACTGTGAACGTACCCTTGTGGGCTGCGTGCGTCCATTCCTCCTCAAATGCAATTACAGTTGTGTTAATAGGACTGAGACACCCGATGCCACGCTGCATTATTAGATTAAACAGCAGATTAATTTGTGCTCATGGTTTTGGCCCCCTATCATCTCTGCAGCCTCCACTGACCTTGGCCAGTGTGTTGTAGACAGACAGTAATGAAGCCAGCCAGTCATAACAGCATTAGCATATCTGGAGGTGGACGCATACACATCCGCCCACACGCACAGTCTAGCACACCTCATTATTATTTATTACAGTATTAACCAAGGTGAAGTTTTTCGGAGTTTAGGTGAGCAAGTTCATAATTCTTCTTCTAATTCTTTTTCAAAGCTGCAGTTTTGTCTCAACTGAAAAATAACTTGTTTTTACATCTTTTTATCGAGGTTAAAAGCTTTAACAAGACAGATACCCGGGATTTATACAAAACCACATTTAACATCTTAACCAATTGGATAAGACAACAGAAACACACACAAAAAAACAGCAAAAATTAGACACACTTAGATACCAATTATGCATTTGTATAACCCCAGAGAAGTCAGGAAGTTCAGCCAAGAGCTTCGTCTGGTTGTCATAACTTGAGCAATCCCTTGATAATGTTGTGTAAAGTTTAGGTCTGTTTCTCCAAAAGTAACACACTCAGTGGCCACTTTATTAGGAACACCTGTGCAATCATAGAGAATGTTAAGTTTTTGTTGACACCATTAACTGCAACTTCAAAAATAAAACATATAATATACATTGAGTTGTGTGCGATGTCCATTAATGTCACTAAAAACTGAACATTATGAACGGTAGATGCTATGGCAGGGCTGTTGTATTGGATTGCATGAAGTGGCCACTGAGTATATTTTCAATACCTCCTATATATCTGTAGACTCCAAAAGAAATTGCAGGACAGAAATGCCAAAGAAATATATAAGGTACGATAGAAATAGTGTCACCTTTATATATTTGTCTACTAGAGAGCACACATGTATATTTCAACTTTATAGTGGCCTGTTCAGTAAATATCTTGGTCACAATTCTTTCATAAAATAATTCAAAGAGTAACTTCACACTTGGCTGAAAAACAGTGTTTCAAGTCTGCTTCAGCAGAACGCACCCTGTAACACTGATGGGTGTGAGCATAAGTGTGCAGCCAACAGTGATGTCACGGTGTACTGACACACCCTGTAGTACACTCTGAATCTTGAATCAATTTTGAAGATTGTTGAGGGTATTGAGCGATAGGTATTGATCATAATTTATTAATCGTGATGAGACACATATGTTTAATGTGATAACATTTTGACCACAGTCATTCTGTCTGCACAGATTTAGAGTCAATTCATTTCTCTCTTTGTTCCTGTTACTTCAACCATCATTTCTATGAGTCATCTCTTTCTGCCTCTGTCTCTACTTCTTCCTCCGTCCCTCTATAATCTCTGACAGTAATTATCTCGTTTAGCAGTTGATTCCTCCTCTCATTCATTCCCACTTGGTCCCATCCAGTGTCGATTGAAAATCATATTCTCGCGTTTAGAATCGTTGCATTTCTGATGACTCGGTGGACCTGCATGCGCTTCCAGTACTGCAGCGCTCCTCTCTTGTTCGATTATCACACACTCCCTCCCACTTCTTTTCTTCCTCGATTGCTCCTTCTTTCTCTTTCTCAATGATAATCTTCCCAACCTCCTCACTTGCTATCCAGCTATCACCAGAAAAAAAAGGGGAAGAAAATCCATTACTTTTATTAACTTCTCTCATATGACACACTCATTTCAGATTGATATTTTTTTAATACCGACTTCTCACAAATTAAGGTATGAGGAAATCAATTGAAATCGCATTTTCTTAATCAAGTGAGCTGATGGTTGAAATGGGCCACCCATGGTGCCGAGTTCGATGCAGATGGTCTGTAGAGTAACTGTAAAGCTGTGGCATTTATGCTCCTTTAATGGTTTTTCACTGTTTCAGTCCTACGGGAGCTGTGTGGTTCCTCTGTGACGTGCAACACAACTCAATATTTGCAGCCGGGCACCGTCTGAGAAATCGTCATCTTGTTAGCGACTAAAAGGCAAATCAGGACTTCTGCTGGCTGAGAGAGAAAAGCCTGCTAATCGAAAACAAGCTCTCTAACACTTTTCTTACTGGTTGTATATCAAACATTACATACGCCTTCAAATGTCAGAACAAAAACTGTGATGATTTTAAGCGCAAACGTGTCTGATGTGGTCTCTTGTGTTGCCCTGCCAGGGATATACTGTACATTTTTATTTATGGTTGGTTTTGAGATTGAAGCTCAAAGTTAGCTCTAAGCTCTTGACATTAGTAATAGTTTTATTGATGAGGCTTGTCACACACCAAGGCTGTGTAATGGATACAAAACATCTTGGGATGGAGGCTTTGTGGGTGTCCCAGAGCTTTCAGTGATTTGGTGCTCTCCCTCAGCGACTAATTTGAGAACTTTATATGTGTTTTTTGTGGACCTGTATGAGATTAATCATTCTCCTAATTCGGGTTCAGAGGGTTCACCCTTTAGTCAAGCCTGTGACAAGCCGCAGAGTTAGAAGCACAATAGATTTAGTGTGTGTGTAGGCGTTGGGCGTTATTATAGGGGTGTAAGACTCTGGCAGCTTGAGTGTCACCTGATTATGCCAATTGGTGATGAGATTGTATATCATTGAAGGGATCAACGATTTATTTTTCCAATATTAAAGCGAGTTTAACTAACTTTCTATCAGAACTAAGATGCTATAAAAGAAATCTCCAGAATCTGCGCTCTTCTTTATATTTAAAGATGTTTTAGGTGGAGTCCACCAGCTGAGCCCCGTTAATCATCACGAGTGACGAGTGAATTTTAAATCCTTAATTAAAAAACAGCTTGCCGTCTCTTTTTCATGGATCTGACAACCGGAATCTCTGTCCATATGCTGGCTCACCATAACTTTGCTCGGTACTCCATAAGAGTAATAAACATTATGGATATAGTTTGGATTGTGAAAATAAAGATACGATAATATTGTTGAATGTTCTTTGACTAGAAGAGACATTGCTGTTAAATATATTTTTGTGTACAAATGATGAATTAGTGTTCTGCATAGCCTTCACTGGCACATATATTTTACGTAGATTGCAGATAGTCTGTGTAATATCCAAGATGTTAGGTTCCTCTTTGACACTAAGACTAAATGGTCCATGCTGGCATTTCAGTGGTGTGCTGGGATGTAAGTCCCCCCTACCCCCTCCTGTTACTATCCTACAGGAATCGTGGTTATTCAAGATCACCAATAGTAAATACGTTTGGACCATATGAAAACAAAAACAATCGCCAAACCTTATTGTAACCCCTGCGCTTCGTTTGTTTCTTTAAAGACATGGATTTGCTTCTCATGCAGCCCATGCCACACTTTGAAAATATGTTTAACACCAACAGAGTCATTATCTGTCTCTTTGAACAGTGTTGTTACCTGTTTGTCTCTTTCTCTGTGCAATCTCTTTCTGCATTTGGTCTTTGTCACCCTCTGTATGTATCTCTTTTTTTTCTCACTTTTACTCTTGCAGTTCTTTTTCTCTCTCTCTCTCTCTCTCTCTCTCTCTCTCTCTCTCTCTCTCTCTCTCCCCCACCGTCTCTCCATCTTCCTGTCAAACGGTGCTCTTTTCTTCTGGTAGTGATTAAGTCCAAGGTCGGCTCTATCAGAGAGCCAGTGTTTGAGAGCGGCTCTGGGTGCCAGAGCCTTCATTCCCTGAGCCTTAGATGTCCCACTGATGGCTTCTCTTTGCTTGTCATGCCTACCCACAATGCCCCTCCTCATACATCAGCCTATCACCGCCCTAAGACACTGTGGGCCTCAAAATGCCTTTTTTGTGTGTGTGAAAGTTCCCACCCTCAGGAAGAGAGAGGGGGCCAAAGACATAACAAATGGAGGGACTGTTGAAGAATGTGTCAGAGATGAAAAGAGGTATATTTGGACACTGTAATAGTTATGTGTTGTCTCTCTGATGTGCAGAACTTAAATGTTTCTGGTCTTAATTTTGGGGCTGAAGATAAATGCAGCTGTGCCGCTCCAGTGGCTTTGTTGTTCTTCTCCAGAAAAAGTTAGTACCTTTTGATAAATGCTCTCTAAATTTGACAGAATTGGACTGTGGACAGTTCCTTATTCTCTCTGTGTGTTTATGAGCAAATAAAACAGTCTGGTTTATGACAGGGAAGCTATTTAATTTCATAACCGGAATCATATGT